AACAGAGCCTGAGTCACTGCACCCGCTTCCTGCTAAGAGTTCACAATGGGAAGGAACCTCGCCCTCCCGAGCCCTCTGCCCGTGTGACAGCTGGTCTGTGTCCTCTAGACTCTCTCGAGCTCTCTGCGTCCAGAAGACGCTCCTGGAGGGTGGTGACCGCGAGGCCGCCCCACGCGCAGGTGGGGGGCACTGCTTTCTGTTCTGCGTCTCTGCCCTTTGCGGTGAGATGGCTCCTTTTCTGTTTCTCGGCCCCAAACCGAAGCTGAGATCTGTGGGGATTCGGGGTCTGAGGGTGTGGCTACTGTCCCTTCTCTCTCTTTCTCTCTCTCTCTGTCTCGCATCTTAAATGCACGGCCTCCACGGTCCAGTTTTCAGTGTCCTGACGTGTTTTGTGCATTTCCCCCAATGGCTTAGTGTATTATTTCTTCTAAAATTGATACACTGTATGCTTACATGCTGCTTTTGGAAGAAAAAGCACCTCAAGAGAAATGCAGGCAGAAAGGACAGAAAACTGTGTGTGCCCACATGCTGCGCTGTTGCTGTGGCCTGTCGTGAGCTGGGACACTCGGACGCCCCACTTGCTTGGGGCTAAATCTCCCTGAGCTGTTAGTTTCCTACCAGGAGCTCTGGCTCCTCTTCATCTTGATGAAATTCTCTTCCCTCACAGGACGGGACCCACGTTCCTGCAGCTGAACGCCCTGTAGCTTCTCAGCAGTTTCCAGCAGTCCCGCTTTTGTGGTTGCTGTCCTGATGGTCTGTGGACTGAAGAACAATTAGCTGTTTGGATGCAAAGAGAAGTGCTGAATTCCTACTTCAGCATGTAGTAGTGGCTGCTCCAGCTGTCATGACAGAGGTTGGAAGAGAGAGGGATGCTTTATGCGAAGAGTGGACACCGTTTCGGCCCTCCTGTGCCCTACTAGGAGCTGCTCAGACTTGGTCTGTGCCGAGGGCTCCCTGAGTCCCCGCTGCCTGCGTGGTGGCGGGAGGCCCCTGGACTGTCTTCAGCAGACAGTTTAATCCCTTGCCTAAGTGTTTAAGGCTCTTGGCTGAGTCCCCCTGATGCAGATAATCCCTCCAGTCACTCCCAGGCCTCCTGGCCCGGGGTTTCAGGGCAGTTAGAGCCTTCGTGTGTGTGTGTAATCAGAGTAATGCAGAGACTGAAGCTGTGAACTTTATCAGCGAGGGCTCAGAGCTACATCGGTCATTCACTTTTTGATTATCTGTCCAAAAGTAGTGTCACATTAACGCCTTAGTACACCTATGTGGTTTTGGGACTTAGTTACCGAGGTCAGGAGTCTGCCGTGATTCAGACCGTAGAATAATCGAAGATGCAGCGATGTGCCATGAGGTTGTGTGCGTCAGGCCCCGACATGGGTGGGTGGGGCTTGTTCATGGAGGGGGTGTGGGTTCTGAGAGACTGGGCCGAGATTCTGATTAGTCAGTGTTTCTGTTCATCTTCACGGATAAAAAGTGGAATCGGGAGAGAAGTCGAAACTTGTCCTTTGTTCCACAAATGATTTCATGTCCTGCCGTGTGCTGAGCAGATGGGTGGGACACAGGGTCCCCATGCGGGCAGTGGGCAGACGGCTCTCGTGGGATTGGAGTTGTCAGGAGCACGATGCCTGGGGCAGTTGTCTTGTCCAAACTCCACGAATGTCGACTTGGAATATTTTTTTAAAAACCTAAAGGGAAAGGCTCCCCACTCCAGTATTCTGGCCTGAAGAATTCCAAGGATGTGTAGTCCATGGGGTCGCAAAGAGTCAGACACGACTGAGCGATTCTCACTTTCAATGGAAACTGCGTTGGGTGTGCTGACTTGCACAGAGATGTCCCCTTTGTTTAGTCTGGGTAGAATGTGACATGCTGACGGACTGATAACCTTATGATTGTTAGATGTTTCAAATTATCATTATAAATATTTTTGAATGAAAACATAATTGCAGTGAAATAAGGAAAAGATCATATAAAACTGGGCTTGTGAGTGTCAGGAGGTTCTGGTCTAGAGGCACAGAGAGCCAAGGCCGGGAGTGAGTCCACAGCACAAAGCCTGGTTGAAACGATGCCCCTCCTCTGTTCTGGTGCCATTGCTGGCTCCCCAGTGCCCACTGAGCAAGACTGCAGCGCGGCCTCCCCCAGCATGGCCCGCCTCTGTCCCTGGCTTTTCCCACCTGAGCTGGAGCCTCCTGGTTCCCGGCACGGCCAGGGTGACCGTCCAGTCTGTGCTCATGCTGACCCCCCATCAGGGGGCCTCCCACCACATCTCCGCTGGCTCATGTGGGCGTCTCCTCCCTGAGCCTTCTCTCCTCTGTCCATGTCCTCTCCTCTTCTCTGAGTTTCTGGCTCCCAACCCTCCGTGGTCCCCAGACCCTGTAGCCGTCTCAGCCCCACCCCCCTCAGTTCCCGTGGCCTCAGCCTTAGGGTCCTTTCATTCCCCTCGCTGTTCTGCACCCAGAGGCCGGCGAGGGGACTCCTTCACCTTTGCGTGTCCTGCAGTCAGGACAGGGTGCCCTGCTGCTCGGGGTGGACGCCCCATAAACAGCACTGCCCCTTACCCCAGATCGGCCAGGAAGCCCCTCTGCCAGGCTGCATCGCCCCCGTGGGCCAGGCCGCTGCTGTCCCGCCACCCTGCTCTGATCTCCTCTCGTCCCAGCTGCGAGGAGGTGGCTGACCACCGAGCGCCGTGTCCGTGGAGACGGGTGTTTTATTGTTGCTCTCCTTGATTAATCATCGCACTTGCAGATTCCAGCTCCGAGGAGGCGCGGCAGCGGGCGGCTGCATGTGTGGTCCCGCGTCTCCCAGAGGCGGAGGCGGCGCCCGGGGCCCGGCTGCCTCTTCCCACACAGAGTTCTCCTGCAGCAGCAGCCTCTGAGGGTCTGAGGTGACATCTGTGCTCAGGAAATGCTGGCTCCTACCTTGAGATTTCAGAAATCAAGTTTGCTTCCCGCGTAAAGTCCACTTCCTTATTAACTGTACGCTCAGGTCACTTCAGACTCCCTGCCACCCTTCAGGTTCTCACTGGTGGGAAAACAGGAAACACAGGCACACACAAACAAGGCTCCTGTCCTGGCTCTGGGCCACTAGGCCGTGCGCAACTTGGGCCCTGAGGTCAGGAGGAGACGCCGTCCGGGAGGGGCGCGAGGGTGGTGGGACCGCCGACCTTCCTGGCCCTGCGTGCTGTGAGCCCTGTGCTGAGAGCTGGGCCTGGTCCGGTGAGGACGCTTCACGTGTTGCGAAGTCGTGCGGGGTGAGAGCAGGCCTCCGGCGCCTCCATCTGGGTCCCCACAGCGCTCTGGGCGGGAGGCTCCGATTTCTACCCCTCTCTGAATGAGGATAACTCTGGGATATGCGTTTATATCTTTGAATGTTGATCAGAGCAATCTGCTCTATATTTGAACTTAAGTTTCCTATTTCCCTTTGACTTGAAGCGCCCTGGGCCCCGGTGGCCCTGCCGCTGTCCTGGTGTGCCTGGCGGTGAGCGTGTCGGGGGCGGCAGGGCCTCCTTTGCTCACCTGCTGCTCCTGAACCTGCCTCCCAGCTGCGGCCCCAGACGCTTCTCTGCTCTGAGCTCTGCATCTTTGCGCAGCGGGACAGTGCAGCCTTTGTTGTAACTGTCACGCCTAAGTTTTGAAATTGACAGAGTTTCGTGTATCTGACTCTTTGAAATTGTACCTGTTTCAGTAAGATTAGGTTATCAACCTTCTTCCATCTTCTGATAGCCCATGTTTTCTTGTAGTCTTTGCAGTCTTATTTGCTATTTCTGTGTTCGACATTTAAATCTCAATGGCTGTCTTCATTCATCCACCAAACACTGGCACAAGCCATGTTTCAGGCCCAAGGCTCCTGCTTAGCACAAGGAAACTCTGCCCTCAGGAGCCTCGTTTTAATGGAGAAGCTGGACAGTGAGTGAAGGCTGGGTGAATGGAGTGGAGGGCCTCTGGGCTTTGTGGGCGGAGAAGAAGGCAGGGCAGGCCCCCAGGACAGGGCACATCGCGTGCAGCATGAGGCTGACTGTGTGCGTGCCTGTGAGTACACACACCGGGACAGCGATTTGCAGACGATGGTTTTTATTAGTTTAGGAGATTTTAATATTAGGTTAATTTATTTATTGTATTTACAGTTAATTGAAGAAAATAGCATGTCGGTCACGTTCATTTTTAAATAAAGCATGTGAGAGCCGCAGAGTGCTGAGTGATCCGTAACACCCTCTTCTCCGAAGCCCATCAGCTCCACACGCGTCAGCATCGCGCTGCAGTCAGCGTGTCTCATAATTAAAGATATATGGCTGTTGTTTAGTTGTTAAACCATGACTGACTCTTTGAGACCCCACGGACTGTAGCCCTCCAGGCTCCTCTGTCCATGGAATCCTCCAGGCAAGAGTACTGGAGAGGCCTGCCGTTTCCTTCTCCAGAGGATCTTCCCAACCCAGGGATTGAACGCACATCTCTTGCATTGGCAAGAGGGTCCTTTTACCACTGAGCCACCTGGGAAGCCTATATTATTATGTACAGAAGGTACTAAAAAGTCATGCTTGTAGCTTAATTAAAAATAGAAGCTGAAACAATTCTTTCCCATGTTCCCAAACTTATCTGTGCATAAAAATTAAATGGGGCTCATTGGAAATGTGGCTTCCTCACCACCCCCCACCCGGAGCTTGGCCCGCTGAACCCTTTCAGGACGCTCGGCGCCCAGCGGTCCTGCGGGGCAGAGGCTCGCGTTCTGAGGAGCCCAGCCCCAGGGACCTGAGCCTGGAGTTAGGAGGTGGTGAGTGTGGTCCAGGCGTTCCCCGTGTCACCACAGGGAATTGATACCGCTTTCTTAAGGTATTTTTCCATCCACAAGACGTTAGAAACAGATGACATCCATGCTCTTACTCTGCTGCTGGAAAATAACATTTTCCCACAAACGGAACCCTTCCGAGTAGCAGCTACAGCCTGTCACCTCTGAGGGTCTTTGCTTCGGGTCTGCACTAACGTGGCTGCGTCGGCACCTGCTGTTTCCAGATCTCGTTTGACCTGGCGGAGTACACGGCTGATGTGGATGGCGTGGGCACCTTGCGTCTCCTGGACGCGGTGAAGACCTGTGGCCTTATCAACTCGGTGCGGTTCTACCAAGCCTCGACGAGCGAGCTCTACGGGAAGGTGCAGGAGATACCCCAGAAGGAGACCACGCCTTTCTACCCGCGCTCTCCTTATGGTGAGAACGTGCGGCCCAGTCCTGCCCGGGGGCTGGCGTCACATGGTGGGCGGTGGCTGGGCAGACGGACCAAGGGGCGTGAGTTGCCAGGCAGACGCCATGCGCAGGCAGGGTCCTGCTGCCGTTGCCTCTGGGCTGGAATCGCTGTCGCACTGCACCCTCCAGACAAAGTGCTGAGACGAAAGTTGCTTCCCGCAAGATTCTTTGTACTGGACTGTGTGGGTCGTGCTAAAATGATATCTCTGGTGTTTCTTCCATTTCCCAGTTTAAATTCTCCTGGAGCTCAAACCCTTAAGTGGAAGTGTTAGTCGCTGAGTCGTGTCTGACTCTTTGTGACCCCGTGGACTGTAGCCTGCCAGGCTCCTCTGTCCATGGGATTCTCCAGGCAAGAATACTGGAGTGGGTCACCTTTCCCTTCTCCAGGGGGTCTTCCTGACCCAGGGATCGAATCTGGATCTCCTGCATTGCAGGTGAATTCTTTGCCATCTGAGCCACCAGGGAAACCCTAAAACAGATAGACAAATCTATTGTGTCTAATATATTTATGAAAAGAATATTCACAGAAGACTTTAGTGATAAACTTTAAAGCAGCTAGAATACCAAGATCCACGTTTTTCAGTTACTAATACCTTGAAACAAAGGAAAAGGGGGTGAGGCCCAGGAAAGGTCAGTTTGCTGTGCAGCACACACTGCATGTGAGTTAGCTTGTGAAGGAAGGGGCTGTGGCTATTACAGAAGGAAGAAGCTCTTAAGTGCTTCCTCGTTTCATGACTAACTGGCAAAGGAACCTTTATTTTGTCCTTGGCTTTTGATTCATTTCTTCCCTATCTTGATACATTGTGAACTGTAAATTTTGCAAGTTGTTACATGTTTGAATGAAAATCTGTTTTACAGTAAGACACTCTTTGATTTGCTTTTAAAAATTTATTCCCACAGGGGCAGCGAAGCTCTATGCCTACTGGATTGTGGTGAATTTCCGGGAGGCGTACAGCCTGTTTGCAGTGAACGGCATCCTCTTCAACCACGAGAGCCCCCGGAGAGGTCAGTACAGGTGCCGATGGGAGGAGAGCGCCTGGCTCCACTCAGGGACGTGTGTGGTGTGTGGTGTGTGTGTGTGTGCGTGCATGTGTAAGCACATGCGTGCATGGACTCTACACATGTGCCGTGCAGACTGGGGCCGTTTCACATCTGTTTTTAATGATGCGAGTGTCAGAAGCGGTAGATGAAGACATGCAAATCTAGCTTTAATTACCTATTAGCTTTGTTAGGGGTTTTGTTCAGCATGGAGCTGAGCAGTGTCCCGGGCTTACCATTTCCATTGGAAGGGCTCACCACGCATGTGTGAACCCGAGAGTCGGGCGGCGACCTTGGAACATGAGGGGCCGGGCGGGAACCAGGGCTTCTTCCCCACGTCACTGTCGCTCTGAATCCTCCACCTGTGGTCTCCCCTTTCTCACTTTGAATCAGTTGTGCACTCAATGTTCCTTCTTTACATTCCATTTAACAAGCACCCAGACATTTCTATGCTTCTGGAGTGTGTCTTAAGGTACATTTAAATCACTGCTTGTCTTTAGAATCTTTATTTTCTTTTTCAGAAAATCATATTTGTTTGCATTGGCTTGTTGCCTTTTTGTGGTTGTCTTTGAGACTGTGAGCAACATGCCAAGTCTCCTCTTCCAAATATTAGGTTTTAAATAAGAAAATGTGTACTCCTTTCATTATTTCTGGTTTACTAAAGCATGAGAAATCTTTAACAAAACATGTACACCTACAAAGTGAAAGTCATCTGTTTAATCTAGTTCTAAGAAGTTTTATTAAATTTCACTATCACTTAGGCTTTTAACTTGCAAATGAATGAGAAATCCAGCGTTGTAAGTTGTTTCATGTCCAAAAATTAGTAATGCTTATAACTTGGTCAATGAAATTTTATGTGACTGTGTAGCCACGTAATTAAACCAGCAAGTCATGAGGAAAGATTAAAGTGACATTTATACTGGTATGTTTAGTGGCAATACATTTTAATTTTATAATTGCTTAAGTTAAAAATTCCCACGCTGCCGCCACTGATGCTAAAAGGAAAGCCAGTGAACAGGCTCAGCGCTGCGGTGTGGGGCATCCTGAGTAGCCGGGAGAGGGGGCGCCCGGCCGTCCCCGCCTCTGGAGCAGGTTGGGGTACTGGGGACTGACTGTTTGGCCTCCCAGTCACAAACATGTTAATGCGTCTTGTCTTCTGTGCTTCCCCCCTCAACTTTTCCACTGGCAAAAAAAGAAAACTCAATTGTTGGGGGTTAGGTTAGGATAGGGAAAAACATTCTTAGTTGTAGAATAAGTAGCTTTACATTTAAATATAAATCCCACCTCAGTCCTCTATGTGCATGCCTCCCAATGAGAACTGTTTGTCTTCATGGATGTTAGTGACTGTTTAAAAAATTTTATTTTTAAAAGGAATGTTTATTTTTTTTAATGTATTTATTTTTTTATTAAGGTATGGTTGATTCATAATGTTGTATTGGTTTCAGGTGTACAATTAAGTGATTTATATATAATGTAACTGAATATATATATCTATGTATGTGTACACACACAGAAAGCATGGATAGAGATGATGTGGTAGATACATGCAATGGAATATTACTCCGCTGTAAGAAGGAACAAAATCAAGCCATTCGCAGCAACACGGATGGGCCTGGAGATGATCCCAGCGTGAAGTGAGTCAGAGACAAACCCCATACGATGTCACTTAGATGCAGAATCTTCAAATGTTACAAGTGAGCTTATGTACAGAACAGCAACAGACTCACAGACACAGAAAACAAACCAGTGGAGAAAGGCTGGGGGAGGAATGAGCCATGAATTCAGGAAGATCGCATGTGCCCTGCTACACACAGAGCGGAGTAGCAAGAGGGACCTGCCGTGTGGCGCACAGTCACTCGCTTAGCGATAATTCATATGGGAGAAGAATCTGTGTGTGTGCGTTTAAAGGCTGTTCTCCATTTGCAGTTACTGTAGAACCTTGGTTCTATTCCCTGCGCTGTGCAGTACATCCTTCTAGCTTGTTTATTTTGTGCATAGTTGTTGGTAGGAAAGGATTTAGAAGATCCTCTCTGGTATACCTTAGTAAACACACAGAGTTCCTCTTTAATTGCCTGTCGTTCGTATGCCTGCGATACTCTAGTGCTTCGAGTTTATTTTCTTAAGCGGCTTGAGCATGTGTCTGTCCCTCAGTCCTTCCACCCTGTCATCTCTGGGCCACTTTTCTTTCGCTGATGCAGTGGTAAGTCTCAGTGTCAGCGAAGGTACAGCATCACAAAGGCCCTATTAAGTAGAGCCGAAGCGGAGGCTACTTTCTGCTTTTTCTCTAACAGAAGCTAATTGACAAGGCTCTTTTTGACTGCTTGCATAACGAATCTCGGACTTTTAAGAAGTAAGAAAGAGGTATTTTTCGTATAGAGATATTCTGGACCAGAGGTTGGTCAGCTCTGGCTGGTGCGCCCCATCCTGCCCACCTGCTTGGGTTTGTAAGTGAAGGATCATGGGAGCCCTGCCATGCCCAGGAATCACACATTATCAGTGGCTGCATCCACAGTGGAGGCCTGGGGCCTGCAAAGCCCTGAGAGTTGACTATATGACCCTTTAAGAAAACATCTGCTGTTCCCCCACTTTCCACCCCCCGGGAACAGCTGAAGCCTCAAAAGTAAGAAACATTCAACTGTGTATAATACAGGCTTCTCCCAAGGCAGCAAGGTAGTTTTATAGAAAGGCTTCCAACAAACATGAGTGTCGCGTGAGTCAGTGGTTAACCCACCTGGAGCAGGATTCCTCCAGCATGTTGTCAGCTGGGCACCGAGAGGCCCCCAGGCGACCTGACGTCGGGGCTGGTCCCAGCTGGTCCTGCCGGGCACGCGGCCGCTGGCTTCACCTGCACTGCATGTCTTTGCTCCCTTGCAGTCCTGGTGGTTCTCTGGAAGGATGCTTACTTCATCATGTGGTGAGCTCACAGTAGCTCTGAAGGTGGTTGGGGTGGTTCTGATTGGCCCAGAAGTGACCGCTCAGAGTCCCCGATCTGGTGGAGATACCCGTGACCAGGGGCGGCCTGTTTGCCCAGCCAGCCCCCAGCTCGCTCTTCGGAGATGCTGGTGAGAAGTGGCCGTTCAGAGCCCCTGATCTGGTGGAGACACCCGTGATCAGAGGCGGCCTGTCTGCCCGGCCAGCCCCCTGCTCACTCTTCAGAGATGCAGGTGGCTCATGCTCCAGGTTTGCTTTTAAGAAAGCGGAGGCCCTTGAGTAGCATTTACAGCAAATTAACAGTGATTGATAGTTTACTATCTAGCATTGTATGTCCATAAAGGGATGAAAATGTATCATAGTGTGTTCGTATTATATAATGATATTCACAGATATCAACAGAGTGCTTTTACTCATAAGCACTCAGCTCTTTAAAGTAAAAAATGGACTATTCTTTTTAAATTAAGAGTTGCTTTGCTTCGTGGAGAAATTGCACAAATCTGGACATGCACCTGAAAACCTTTTACTTCTCCTTTTGTTTCTCTAAACTTGAGCTTCTTCATCTGTTTTACTTACGTGTTTCTACATGTGCGTAAATACACGCGGTGTTCTGTTTGCAGAACAGAATGTGGCAGCGGTGCCACCTTTCTTCTGAAGATACAGGTTTACATATTCTCTCTTTAGGAAACAATGGCTGTGCTTATTGTCTAGAACTGTTACATTTCTGTGAGGAGAATGTCATGTGCAAAGAACCTTTTTGTTTCCCTTGCTGTTTCTTTGGAAAGCTGATCAGTTAAGAGGCTGACATCATGGAGCTGTTAGCTATAGCAATTAGATTATGTGAAAAATGCTGAGAAGTTTTAAAATTACTTTAAAGTAGCTTGTGAAAAGAAAGTAGCTTCTTTTCTAATATATTGGTTATCATGATAAAATATGAGACTGTTCTATAGATTAGAACATTGAAAGCATGCCTACTAGGAAGGTCATTGTACCCATGAGCTGTTTTTGCTGCAGCCGACATGTTCAGTTAATACTCTAAAGATACTTGTAGAGATATTTTGACAGACTTGTTAAACTTACACATTACTTTCTGTGTATGTAGTAATTCATACACACTTCTATTTTTTAAGATTTCTTAATTTAAAAGTACATAGTAGCCCATGAGGTGATCCTCTTTCTCTGAAAGCAGTTTTAGGGGACGACCAGTGGCTGCCTACCTGTGTGTGCCCTCCCCAGAGGCGCTCAGAATCTATGAGGAGAAGGAGTGGAGTCTTTTCGACCCATTTGTCTCATCAGTGAAGAAGTGGAAGTAGCATGAGGGTGAGGCATTCGCGGTCTTGGCGCTGACTGATGTCCGCGCGAGGCTGGCACAGCCCTGGGGATGGAGGGTCGACCTATGCGTTGCTTGTACCTGTGGAAATCGCACGTGGTGATGCTTTGGAGTTGGCATGGGAGCAGGTCACTCTCAGGAGCAGAGCTGGGCTTCACGATGGAATGGAGCAATGGCTCATGTCTTTGGTGAAAGACGTGAATTCTTCTGGTTAAATGCAGTGTGCCTTTCAGATGTTTAGCAGAAATGATCATAATGAAACATTAGCTTTATGGCAGTAAAATACAAATGTGATTTAAAGTAAAAAGCTGATCTTGAGTATGACCAAGAGCTGGCCAGGAGAAACAGCAGAGCTTATACAAAACACGTTACAATCCCACGTGACAGTGTGCAGCAGTAAACACCTTAAATACACCCATGATTAGCAGTTCGACTCCACAAATGCATGGTGTCCAGTGACTGCTTAGGAGTGGAGGCTTCTTTAGATGCTATAGCACATGCCTCTAAACATGGGCTTCGTAAGAAACCATACATATCAGTCTAAACACAGTATTCACCTAACTGGGAGACTCTGGAAGGTTCATGAACTTGTGGTTTTAAGGTTTAGACTTGAGCTTTTTTTTTTTTTTTTGCCAAGTATTTTGCTTCTTAAAATGTCTAACTATATTAACATAAGTTAATCTTCAGATTTTTTAAAACTATAATT